GCCATCCCGAGTCATCGTAGAACCCTTCCCCAGCACATCCGACGCTCAGCAGCTGGCAGCCTCAAAAGAGGTACGAGTTGGCATCAGGACGCCCTCCACCGAGCGCCCGCTCAGCCTGGCTGATGCTGTGGTCAGCCTGCTTACTCAACTCCCGGCACTCCAGCAAAGCCTCGCTGAACTGGTTGTAGGCTTCCTCCACGATGGAGCTCCTCCGGGCCGGTTGGACCTCCCAATAGCCCTCTTCCACCCAGGGCTGAGCCTGGCCGGCTGTCTCACCAAGACCCCCGGCGTTGTTGCAACGCTGCAGCGAGTGGTCTAGATCCTTGCACAGCTGGTAGAGCTCACTACCCCGTCCGGATACCCGTTCACCGTCAATCACTTTAACCCGCGGGAACATTTCCACCAGGATGGCCGGGTAGCTGGCGGTGGCACAGAAAGGGTTGCTGAGCCGGGCCGGGCCGTTGTGGAAGCGCACATTGTCTAGATGCCGCAAACCGGCCAGGCACTGCAGCTGTTGCGGGTTGCGCAGCTGATTGCCGGATGCATTGAGGCTCTGCAGGCTTTCGCAGCCGCTCAGGGGTTCCAGGTTCGAGATGCGGTTGGCGGCGACGTTGAGCACGGCCAACGCTTTGAGGGAGGCCAGGGGGCCTAGGTGGGTCAAGCCGTTTCCCGACAGGTCGAGCCACTCCAAGCTGGCGCACTCACCGAGGCAGCCCAGTTCCAGAATCCCGAGGCCTCTCAGCTTCAACAGCAGGATGGACTCGAGATCGAATTCTCCCGTCCGGCTTTTTAGCAGCTGGACGGTGATCTTGCCGTTGTGGTCTGGATCGTCGCTTTTCTCGCTCCGGAAGTCCATTTCGGTTCCTCTGGAAAAGGTCTCGGAAGCAGTCGTCTTCGGCTTAACTTGCGCTGCTCTTACGCCTCATTTTGCGACCGCGGAAGGACTGGTTGGATCTAAGCCGTCCCTCCTGCGGGGAAGGGAAAGGCGTAAAATCAAAAAGAGAGCCGGGGGAGTGTGACAACGACAACTAGTCCTCTACTTATGATGGCAACTCAGCCCCAAATTCCTAGACTTTGGCGCAACATTGCTCCAGCAACATTTGCCCTGTTTTATGACCTTTCATTCCATTGTCGTTAAGTGAATCTCTGCAGCTTTTCAAGTTTGTCACACGGCCGTTCAGCGAATCTGGCTTCCCCGTTGCCTTTGCTCAGGGATCACGTAGCCCATAAACATGGCATGCCTAAGGCGGGACTAGAACACCCAGCCTCCTGGTGATTGGCCCACAGTCACCCAGTGGGCTTTCATGGTTCAGGCTGCCATTCAGTCCTGGGGAGGGGTCTCCTGCAAGTCCCTGGTCCTCAGGGGAAGATGTCCTGCATCTCTCATTTGCCTCATGTGAGGGACCCTGCGATTGAGGTCCCAGAAAGAGGAGAGGAAACAGCTGGTTCGATACTGAGACAGGCCGCATATAAACTTGATAATTAAAATAAAAATAAAACAATAAAATGTAAAATAAATAATATAATACAGAAGATAAAACAATAAATACAAAAATAATAAATAAATAACCGAAACAAAAAGTGAAATCATAAAATGAAAAATAAATAAAATGATAAAAGATTAAAAAAAATAAACCAAATAGCAGAATAAAAAATAAAGGATAAGAAATGAAATAATAAAATAAAAAAGTAAAATCATAAAGTGAAATTAAAAATGAATACAATAAATTAAATACAATCAAACAATAAAATCTAATATCAATCAAATAATAACAACTAGCTGGATAACAGTGCTTCGCTATGAAACTATGTGATTGGTCTTGATATATTGACACTTAAAGCTTGAAAATTAATGTAGACTGTGTAATTCCTTAGCATCAGAGTGTGTTAACATAAGGCAATTGGCAGTTGAAACAGAGTTCCTTTCAGGTGGGGAGGGGGAGTAGAACGTCAAACTCCTTAGCATAAAATCAAATATAAATCAAATAATGACAAAAAAGAAATTAAATCAATCAAAATAAAATAAAACAATAAAAACAAATACAAAATGAAATCAAATGATAAAAATAAAGGGAATCAAATAAGTAATACA